TGCATCTCCAGAGCCATTAGGCCAGCAGGGTAGATGGGGCCAAAGCAGCCATGTGAAGAAATGCACAGACCTGCCTGTCTGTGCAGGATCTGATACAGCCCCTATCACTGCAGCATCAGAAGGGCCTCCCAAGCGCTGAGCGAGCTTATCGATACACCGGTCCTGTGAGGTAGGAAGGATGGTTGTCTGCATTCCTGAGGCAAAGAGAGATTGCAGGTGGCACGGTGCTTAGCCTTGTCCTACCTGCTCCCATGGAAAGCGCTTTTCCCATTGACCTCGCATGGGCGCAGAGTCCGGCTGATGCAGTGTTTGTGAAAATCTCGTTCTACATGACATGGCCAGGGTCACACTGGGAGCTGGGCCGGAGCCAGGAATTACATCCTGATCTTCCCCGCTCCGGTCCAGAGCTTTAAGCACAAGTCCAGCCTTGGTCTGACAAACTCTCTGCCCCTCCTCACTGCTGTATTGTTGCTTAGCAGAAACCATGTGTCAGTACAATCCTTGACAGCGTCTGTGAGGCCAGTTTAGGAAATGTTCTTCCCAGCTCTCTGCCTCCTGAGCTCTCACCTCATCTGCCTTGCAGGGAGAAAGTCCTTCTGTCCCATGGCCCAGCAGAGACTCTTTCTCTTTCGCCTTCCTTATCTAGCTCTTATCCAACTTCTATCCCTGTTTCCCATCTACCCCAGAAGTGTCCTTCTACCTCCATATCCCCGCACAGTGCATTGTTCCTCTAAATATCCTTGCAAAAGGCATCTTTCTGTCTCTCGCACGGTTCCCCCACTGTATGATGTCTGTGTCTGTACGCCTGTGCCTGTGTCTGTGTCCGTGTCTCCTCAAAAAATGCTGGTCAGTGGTGTGAGTGGCTGAAAAGGAACTAGAAATCCTGTATCAGAGCAGAGCTGGCCTGGACTAGAGGCTGGGAGCTGACACAAGGGTAGAACTACGCCCCATGGCTCCTCTTTGGTTTGACAGCAAGCTGCAGTAATTTGCCCTGCGTATGTGAGAAGCAGCTTTCCATGAGGTGCTGCTCGGTGCAGGTAACACTGGAGAATCCCTTCAGATACCACCTAAAATACCATCCTTGCCTCATGCATGTATACTCCATGGCAGACATGTGATGGGCTGCTTTACCTCCTTCTCATCCCATCACAGAGCAGCATCGGGGCATCAGAGTTAAACAAGTGCTTTTGTCTCCAAGCCGCAATGCTGGTTTCCCAGTAGGCTGAAACAGCAGCTCGGTGAGGAAAGTGTCCTGGAAAGAACAGCGTTTTCTATGATAACATCAGTGCTCTTTGCAAATCTTCTTATTCACCTTGACATTTCAGCAGGACAGAGGCAACTCTGAAAGCTGCAGCCAGATCTTATTCTAGTCCTGTCTGCACCCCAAGTACAGTGGTGTCATAAACTGTGTGTGCCCCCTTTTCAACATGGGGATGCTGATACATGAGACGCTCTGGGTGCTTTAATTAGAGTGGCTCTCAGAGCTGCTCTAATTAAAACGCCTCCCCTCCCCACTCCCATAGCATGTATATAAACACCCACAGTGTCTCAGCAATTCCTGCTGAACAGGCCAGATGTGACTGGTGATGACTGTAACCCCAG